GGGGGGATAGTCTTCAGGGAGATAGGAAAAAGCGTGACGTCTTATATAGCAAAAGCAGCATAATATTAACCTGTTTTCACACTTCCAACAGGGCTGTTACCAATGTAATCAAATGCTTTATTTTTAATGTCACATTCAAATGATGTTTTAAAATTCCCACGTGCATTTCTCCAGTGCTACTAAATATTTGTGTTGTAACGTAAATTTATGTTTTTAAAAAAATCCAAAACAATTATGTTTGCTTTTTACCTAAAACCCTGCACAGATGAGGGCAGTCTCCACTTGTTCCACGACTGCGAGTGTGGACATGGGACAATTACGCTACCCTAAAATCACAAAGTTCTATTTGCTCAGTAACCTACGTCACTGTACCTAGTTTTGAGAAATTTGACGTTAACAATTTTTAGTTTCACAATATGTCAAGCTTTTTGTTTAACAATGTAATCCTTTGAATATCTTGATGACGACCCCGAATAATCTTACGACCTTGATAGAGCAGATAGAACATTTATTGTTTTCTGAACCTATGGCCTTTGTAATTCGAAATGGGCCAACATGTCAGATAGAACTTTGTAGTTCTAAGGTAGTGATGTCGCCCGTTCGTCTCACTTCACCGCCAATAAGTGACGTCATAGTCATACTTTCGAAGTCATGCCACGTGTGGAAACTTTCTTCTGTACGCGGTACTTTACCTCGTAATTTTTAAAACATGTATGTAAAAGCGTATATTTCACAACACCAAAATCATTCTTAGATGGGTAATGGATAAGATCTTCATCGCAACGCGCAAAAGATCTGAGTGCAATTCTCGTGTTGGGAATCCTTTGTATCAAAAGTCTCCGTCCCCCCCCCCCCCTCTCCCAGGACCCGGTATCAGAGCAGGAAGCCAGTGTCGAAGCAGCCCGCCTCCTCACACGATTTGAATTGTATCGATAACATAAAACATTCACAGTTCTGTTGCTTGCTGTCGTTATTGGGTTTTTTGTCTATACGAGTTTGTCATAATAATCACTATTGTTACAACCTTCTTTTGTTTTTTGATGGTAATGATTTCTTGAACTAGTCACAATGTTTTTGCTTGACATATAACACGATACTATGTTCTGTCAATTTAATAAGGAACTAAAATGACCCTTTGTAGATTGACGAGGCCATTACTTTCATAACTTTGCTTTTGATATTGTTAGCGTTGACCTTTGGTACAATATTTTTAGCATGTGCACCCAGCGTAAGATTGCCTGTATATATGCATGTGTGAATGATTTTGGTTGGTGTTTTTATGTTTTGTTTTGTTTTTTAACTTTTAATTTGACTAATGTTCGACCAGACAATGAGAGAGTGGCCTACTATGTATTGCAAAGGTTTAGATATAGCACCATGTGCTATTTTATTCGTCATTTTTATTAAATTATCTACCGTTTCGTAACATGGTTTATAAAGATAGCAATAATTATCATAATGTTGTAGAGGAAAGGAACGATAACTCTTACCCACCTGCTCTTATTTCCTTTCACTTTCGTCTTCGTTAAGAGACAGGAACAGTGTAGGAGACATTTTTCTAGTTAAACGTCGGTGGCGCTCATGACGTCACACAGGGGGGGAGGGGTCATAGAAAAAGGAATAACATGTCTCCACAGAGTAAGCACAGTACCTTTTATAACACAAGTAGGAAAAGGAAAGGGGG